TTTTTTTTTTTTTTTGCAAAAGGAAGCTGAAAGAAGCTCTAACAAAAACAAAGGAAAACACCTTCCCAAATCAAATCACAAAGACAGTGTGTATCAGTAATAAGCCATCTTAAAACTACAGTTTGTGTGTCTTGCCTCAAGTTCTGACCTGACCCAGTCAGATTTTAGGGATGTTATGACTTGGAGCTGTATGGTACAGCAACCCAATGCCTGTTCAGTCATTAATAAGTCAGTACCTTCAGCCTGCAGTATCAGGGCATTATTTAATCAGCATGAAAGAAGTGGTGAGTGAAATTAGATCTTGTCCTTCTCCCTCCCTGTGTGGCCTGTGGCAGAAGTAGAGAGGGGTGATGATAGCCCTCTCTCCAGTCACCATTTCATTACTCTTCTTACTTTTACTCAGACTTAACTTTTGTCCTGTTCTCCATCCCTTTCTTTCCGTTTTGTCTCTGTGCTGCAAGAGCAGCAAGGAGGCATTGGAGGCTTGGCATTTGCAAAGTGCCACCCTGGGAGCCCTTTGGCACTCTTTGGCATCGCTCAACCTTTTCAGTCCTTTGAAGCAGGTTGAATGCTTCAAAGGACTCTTAAATGTGTGTCTGACAGAGCCAGGTCGTGAATATAGCTGATACAAAACAAATCAAATTATTATTTTTGTGTGTTTAGTAAGGATGGAACTTGAGGGTTTCTGGCAGCGGGATTGAGTCTTCATCTTCAGATGATTTTCATTAGTACCCTTATTAAAACCAACTATTGATATTGCTATCAATATATGGTAATGTGACTCTGTCCAACAAACGGCTTCAGAATTTACTTTTAAACCCCCAAAGTTTTTGCTACATGTATCAAACATGCTGTCAAATGTAAAATCTCATGAGCTGCCAACACTTCTGTGTTCTTCCTGTCTTTGGTATCACTTCCGAGTTTGATCGATACAGTTTCTTCTCTGGACAGTAGAGTTGCATTCGGGCCCCAAAAATCCAACCCGACCCGGCCCCAGCCGTAGCCATCATTTCCGAACCCCACCCGACCCAACGAATTAACAGTAATTACAGGTCCAAACCTGAAAATCCCCAGATATTTTTAATTAAGCTTTGACTGCTTATATAGTTATTAACGGTTGGTGGACGCGAGTGGCTAAGGGGGCAGAAGATCGGAGCTGAGGGGGTGTTTGTCCTTTCATGGCCGTCAACGCGCATTAAATCCCTGCTGCATTCTGCATTATTCAGACACGGACACTGCTCTGACATATCGGCTATTTTGGGATCTCACCTGTTTGGGCTGTCGGCCGCGCATGTCCGCTGAGTGCAGCGGCTGAATGAACATCCATTCCATATCAATTGGCTTCATTCGTGCTGGTCGTTTACTTCTGACCCATTTCAAGCTTAACTGAACTTTTATTTACCTCTTTCAAGGCTGGTCAGTGTGCGGTCCAATAGCCTTGTGCGGCTGGTAAATGTATGGCAAGCCATGTGGCAATATAACTGGATCGCCAGCCGCGCACGTCTGCTGATGCAATAAAAAGCCCAACACCGACCGGGCCTGCACATTAAGCACATTATTATGGCCCGGCCAATCCCTAATCTGGGTCGGGCCAGGCTCTGGGTTAGAAATGACAGTTCTACTGGACAGCATCTCAAGATCTCACGCAGTAGCACTGTAAAACAAACTCAAATGCAATTTATGTTCAAACATGAACAGCAACAAATCTTTTAACCAAGCCTGAACAAAGCCAGACAGTTAGTAACCTTTCCATCCTCCTGTTTCTACCTGTACTGAATCCCCTGATGGCACGACTTGTGATGATGAAGCCTTGATATAGACATGATGGATGTTTGTCTCAGTTTGTTCTAGAGACTCACAGTGAATATTAATGCTGGAAGACATTTTGACTCTGATCTCTCAGGGAAGACATCAGGCAGGGAAGCACTAATGGTTTGGACTCAAACCTTGTCCACCTTTTAAGAAACCTATTCAAAAAGCTGAAGATGTGAACTTTTTTTATTATGTAAGGGATTTGTTTTCTGAACATGTGCTCTTCTCTTCAGCAGCTGTTAACTACTGGTAAATTAGACCAGAAACAAGTCACAAAGTCAGAGTTTTATATTACATAACCCAAGAATGGTGTTTGTTACCTTGGTGCTTCTTTTCTCATGAATACTAATTCATGAATCCAAATCCAAGCAGGAAATGCGTATATGTATGTGCTTTCATTGTTCAGATGCATTTTATTTTCTCACCTCCACTCTGTGTGATGTAGCGCACCCATGGCAACGCCTGGTAACCACTCTTCTCTATGATCTTTAGGTAGCGCACCTGGACAACATAAAGATGTTCTTTAATTTTCAATCAAATACAGTATATTATTGGTAAAACGTGTTCACCTTAATGGTGCTAACCAACATTTACCAGGACATTGTGTCTGTAGCAGTGCTTTAGTTGCTCTCTTACAGCTGATGTAAACAGCAATTCATTTCCAAATTTGATGAGTAAGGATTTTATGAAACACTGATTGATTTATTTATTTTTTTCTTCTGGGATGAGATCAGTTTAAGATAACCTCAATTAACCATAGAACCCCAGTTCCCACAAAAATGGGGATGTTGTGTAAAACATAAAAAAAGGTCAAATCTCATAAATCCATATTTTATTCACAATGGAGTAGAGGAACATAAATGTTTAAATTGAAAAAAATATATATATATATATTTAATCCGAAGAAGGTAATTTAAAAAAAATTGGCAGTAGTAATTTTAAAAAAGTTCAGACAAGACCATGTTCATCACTGTCAAGCATCTTTTTGAATTTGTTACATAATGATAACTTTTATCTATACAGTTGCTGAAAAATCATATTAAACTTCAGCAATAAATACTTGTTAATTTAATTAAAATTTTGACTTTTAGGATGAGAAGTCACAGTATTGTCCAGTGTACATCACATATTTAAATGTGTCATAGTTTTATATATATTGCCATGTTGGAAGACATCAAAACCAACAGCAATATAAATGCATAAATTAAAAACTGGGCTAATGACAATGAGGGTTAAAGAAAACTGTGAAATGGTTGTTATTATAAAAGCCTACCTGAATACCAGACACAGTGAAATAAGGAATCTCAAAATTAACAGTGATGGGTCTCTTTGCCTCCAGCTCGCCACTCTCTACACTGGGTAGACAGAAGTGTGCCCGCATCATGTACTCCTTACCCCCCTGTAAACACACAAACAGAACAAAGACCAGACCACAAACTTGTTATTGTGAAAGGTCTCAGGTGACAGCGCTGGGTCTGCGTCCTGTGTCAGATACCTCACTGGGCTGTGATTGTTGGAAACAAGTCTGTGACTCAAATTTGCAGGAAAATTGCAACCAAAAAAAAAAAAAAAACGGGCAAATTTTCTGCAGCAGTTTCGCTGAATTCTGAGTGTTTGTGATTGAGCCACAGGGGCAAATTTAAAAGACCAGGTTTTTTAAATCCTGCTCCATTTTCCTGTGCACGGCTTTAAGAACTGCATTCTTGGCCATGCACACTATTTTGTTGTCCTCCGCCCATATCGCCCCCACTTCGGCTTGTTTACATTTGAAAAACAAACAACAAAAACAACAACAACAAAAACACAACATTTGAAAAAATGGAATTACATTAAGCCAAAATGGAAGTGGCCGAAGCGGAAGTGGCCGAAGCGGAAGTGGCCGAAGCGGAAGTGACCAGAATCATATTTGAAAAAAATGGAATTTCATATGAAAAAACAAAATTATATTAAACCAAAGCAGAAGTGACCAAAGTGGAACCTCTGTTGTGTATAGGCATATATGTATCAAACATCAAGATGCTTTCCGGGTCACACATGTTGGTGAAATATAAAAATCTAGATCAAATGAGGTTGTGCAGCATTTTACAAATGTTTGATTTTTGATGTGTGGATAAAGTGAAAAATGCAAAAAGCTTGGCTGTATTTTAATCCCTCATGAAAACTAATAATGACATAAAGTTGTTTTTTATTTTATTTTTTTTTATTTGGATTCTCAATTAAAAAAACAACTGAATGAATGGTACACGGACCCCATTTTCGCCACTTCTGCTTTGGCTTAATGTAATTCCGTTTTTCCAAATATGATTCCAGCCACTTCCGTTTCAGCCACTTCTACTTTGGTTTAATGTAATTCAATTTTTTTCAAATGTAATTCCATTATTTCAAATGTTGTTCATTTACACCTCAGGGCCACCGTAGCCCTAAGCAGTCATGACTGCATGCCTCTGCAACTCACAGGTAAACTGAAAGCCAATACTGAGACATTATGAAGACTCCCTAATAAAAATATAACTAGTAGCACAATAAAGCAATACGAGACAAAAAAATAAATAAATCTTCTGCCAACACAAGAACAACTCCTTTGTCTAACAAGGTCAAATATTTTATAGGACTTGGCGTCTGGTGCACCCAACTCCCAATGAAGCAGAAAAAAACTGGTTAATCATTGTCGAGAACATCATCCGAGCACTGAACTTATCAGTTTTATTGGCGGGGCATCAGGTGAAAAAAGTTTTACTTTTATAGTACCATGTTTTTTGGACTATAAGGCGCACTGGATTACAAGGCGCATTAAACGAAAGAAAACAGTCAGATAAGTCAAACTTTATTCGACTCATTCACAATAAGCACATAAAATCAGTTCGAGGTTAGTAAGCACAACCAGAGTTAATACATAAGACGCGCTGTATTATAAAGCTCACTGTTGATTAAAAAAAAAAAAAAAAGAAATCAAAGGATTTTAAGTGTGCCTTATAGTCTGAAAAATACGGTAGATTTTTCACTTAATATTTATTCCCTGTGCAGTGGAAATAATGACCACGCCCAACATGTTTTCCATGGCTTCCTCCATGTGTCTTTTTAGGAAGATGATTAATGGTCGGACAAAAGTTTAGATTTATGTAAACATTTCAATTATATGTATTATGTGACAATCAGGTTTTAAAAAAAAAATAAAAATAGCTTAAAAAGAAAACCTTTTTTTAGCTTTTTGGTTTTTTTTTTCTGTTACTAGATGATAATTTTCATATTGAAGTGACACATACCTGCTCACGGACCATATTCATCACAACAAGCCACTGCTTCACTTGTTTTCCTGACCTTCCTCATTAATTACTTAACGACAGCTGCTTGTGAGAATATGCAATTTTACAGCGTTCAAAGGTGAAAACCAACGAAAAGTTTTTCCGAGTCACACACCAGCTGGATAACAAAGTGGCATTAGTAATTCTTAACCTTCCTTGACAGGCCGAAGGTGTAATGAATTTCAGAGAGGATATCAGCACCTGACAGATTAAAGGAATCTCTACTGAATTAATGTGCTACGACTTGTTCTTTCTTTTCTTTTTTAAAATAAAAAGTTGTTTTTAAACGGGCTTTAAAGTGAAGAATCACACTGAAGCGACAAGGCGACAACAGATGAAATGTATGGAGTGGTCAGTGACAATATAATAAATGGCTCCTGTCTCCCATTTATCACAAAACAACTTCATTTTAAAGTCGTTTCAAGATTATAAAAATGTGCCTCTTTTTCATGCAGCTCTGCTTGTAAATCCATCCATCCATGCATGCATCCATCCATCCATCCATCCATGCATCCATGCCTTATCTTTTACCCGCTGCTTCCTTTTCGGGTCGCGGGGGTCACTGATGCCCATGTCCAGCCATCACTGTGCAAGAGACCTCCTGGACAGGTCAAGAAACAAACCATCCACTCTCTCACTCACACCTAGGGACAACTTAGCTATATCTTGAAATTCAACCAGAAAATAGAAATTAATATTTAAATTGCACCACCTGCTGTGGGAAATTATAGAAACTGATTAAACACATTCTGCAATAGGGATGTATTTATAAACTAGAGAAATTGCATTTTCTGTACAGTGTGAATGAGAAGAGCTGACTGACGTGCTGAAATTTACTGGAAAAGCAGACACTAGTTGTCAAACCGAAAAGAAGCAGAACATTAAATGCTAATGGAAAGCAGCAAAACATTAGCTAAAAGCTAATGTAGCAAAAGGCTAGAATAAAGGAAAATGTAGCAAAAGACCTGAATGGCTGCAGAAGAAGAAAAAGTTAGTTTTGCTGCATTTAAATGGATTTTGTGTAACACACTTATTAAACGTGCCACTAACAGGGAAGGATTTGATGTTCCACTGCACCACGTTCTTCTCTGGCACCCACTTGGCGCTGCCTGTGCTGGTCTTGAACTTGGGCGAGTCAGCATCGCTGGGCACCGGCACCATGATGGAAACGTTGTTGGCAGTAGACCGGCTCTTAAACTGACTTCGAGCCTGTTAAAGGTGACAGGACAGAGTTCAGACAGCATGCAGGATTTTTATATGAAAAAAAAAAAAAAAGAGAACAACCACGAGTGCTGGTTGTAATTTTGAGTTTGTATGGACTTCAAGGCATCAAACAGATGGTGATCCACTTGAGACATATGCATCATGAATACTACAATGAGTTTGATTGGAGGGACAATGGATCAGCAATAGGACGCGGTCCATTTGTTACAGCAAGTGTGCACCTTGATGTTTGTGTATCACTTGTCATTACCTTGACTTTGATCTCCACACGGCTGTGAGAGAACTTTTCAATCACACTCTCAATCCATATAAGAGGCTTCACCTGTCAGGGACATATCGAACGACAGAGAGAACAAGGTCAGAAGTGTTAGGGAGCATCAAGCTGCTAACATCGCTTCAGTGATAGAGAGGACAAGAGAGAAAACAAGATGCTGTGCTTGTAAAAGTGGGATAAATAACATCTAAAGCGTTTACTCTCATTTAAAAGGACCTGGTGCTACAAAGCTAGGTCAGCTTTTTGATTACAGCAGGTCATTGGGGCAAATCTAGCTGAGAGCGGATTAAAAAGAAAAACGAAACCATTTTTGACTCCTTTCATGTATTTCTATATACAAATATACAGTTTCCATACTGTGAACCAAGTCAATGTTTTAAACAAAATAACAATGCACATCACATTGGTTTTTATGTAAATCCTCCTGACTACCTACTACTTCAAATATGTCCTCCTTGAAGGACATTTGTAAACTTGAATATGTCCGACCCACAGCATGCTACTGAATTAACACATTTTGTTCTCTACAGAAGGAATTTAGGGCTTTTCAATGATACCAAATATGAAGGGGTGGGTTTTGGTACCTTTCTCTTCCTCGTGAATAATAAAATATTGGACATGGACAATATTTAGTTTTCGTAGTGAGGTGGATGCAGCAAAAATAAAAGTATTTTATATTGTTAAGTTGGACATATTTATTTTGTTCCGAGGTTTTGAACCGGCCAGCTCTACCTGATCTCTGCCTGCATGAGAACGAGAATAATCACAAATTCACCAACGCTCACATAATGAAGATGCATGCTGCACAATTTAAACTCTGGGGCTAACAGCTACTAACTAAAAGCGAATGAGAGAATGGGGTATATTTTATGAGAAGACAGGAAATACAGCATGCATGGCATCAGATAAGGAACTGATTGAATGCAGGGGCCTGCAGTACATCTGTTTTACCAACGAAGGAGTTTCTGAGCACTTGGTGCACAGATCTGTTAGTTGGAACAACTAATCCGACAAAGTGGAAACATGAAAAGTCAAACACAAACAGAAGCAGGTATTCGCAGTTTGTTGCCACACCTAAAACCCACATTTAGCAAATATTCCAGGACACTTAACTTGAGCGTTTCAGCCACAAGCATCAAGGTTGCCATAACAGATACTCTCGTGATTGTTATGCTGTAAACTTTACAAGTTTTCAGTGTTTTGCAGGGTCATTTGTTCAGAGTTGAGGACACAACATTTGATCTGACAGCTAAAATTAACAGCAACATAAACAGTTTATTTTAATTGACGTTCCTACAATTATATCTAAAACAAAGAATTGAACAATACAATTACGGGGTTTTTTTTGCACAGCGCCCTCTTGCGGTGAGTTGGAGAATTACAACGGGTAAAAATGAAAATCATTTAGGACAAAACCAATAAAGTTTGTGATTCAGGAGTTTGAGATTGTGCCAAGTGAATAACTCCCATTCTTGGTGATTTTCAGGTGGTGTTGATGTGTGTGTGTTTGTGCGTCCCACTCACTGCTGTGTTGAGGCGGTATGACATGAGCTCGCTCTCGCCGTCAGGGGGGATGAAAGAGATGGTGCGGTCATTCTCGAAGCGTGACAGACGGACGCACTGATGAAATTTCACATCCTCCAGTTCTACTGTCTTGCTCTTCTCCCCTGGCGCACGCACACAGAAATGCACAAACACACAGAGAAACCCACAAAAAAAAAAGATTGAGAGCCTTTAATGCAGCCTTGGGGGAAATCAAGGTCAAGGTAATAATCACTGACAAACACTCACTCAGTCACACACACACTGTGCACCCCATCCATGTGCCCTCCTCTTGTCCCCCACTGAGCAATTATTTTGCTTTTACACACAAGTGTGTAGATGATTTGCCCTCAATACCTGCCATCATAGTTTCCACCCCCACACACACTTGTGCACAATCAGCTGCATCGCAAACAGTCACACCTGCACCCATGAAATCAAATTAATAAGTACAGTAGGATTGCCCAAAGAAGAAGAGTGACTACAATGATTGAGTCTGTAGATATATATAATGCTTTCCCTTCTCCAGCAATAAATTTAATTTTCAAAGCCGCCGTTTCATTTTTTATTTAAAGTCCTGCTCGACCAATTACATCATTAATGTTTGCGTTATTATCAGACAGTTGTGTACGCAAGCAAATATTCCTCATAAAGTCTGAGTATTAGTGTAGTGCTGTAAGTTATAAAAGTAAAAATACTTAATCTGTAGTCTGCTGCATAGATCCCACCTTTCAACCCCCCCACTGTGGTTAATAAAAGGTGCTGAGAGAAGGAAAACGGCTGTAATGACTGTGGGCCCTTAGCTAAATCCTTCCATTCAAGTCAGCTAAAACCTGCTTTACCTGCTTTGAATGCAACCTGGAGCAGCACCGAGGCCTTTAGGAGAGAACGTGTGGAAGTGTGTGTGCGTGCACGTTTACACATGCAGCTTTGCTCTTCATTGTCCTCCTGAGACCGTGTCTGTTCAAAAGCATCATGTCCTTTGCAGATGTGGGCAACTTGCTCACTTCTGCGTTAATTTGGGTTTTGTAGGTGTTTGCTTGTTTGTGTGAAAGTTTAAGTGCGAGACACTCCCCTTAGGGACTGGACTTGATGAGGTCAGGTCCAAATAGAAAACTACTCTCCTTGTTTGGCAAATAGGGAAGTCCTTTAGAAGTCACTTGTTTTTATGACGACAGTTTTGACTATCATCTGACCCACAGGGCAACTTGCAGAAAGTAATCATTGGTTGAATATCTACAAGTAACGTTTGGAGTCACACAGCCTTCCACAGCCAAATGACCTTATATTAGAGCTGTCATTTCTAATGTGGGCCTGGGCCTGGCAAAAATAATGTGCTGGATGGGTGGACCGGGTCGGTCTCTGGCTTTTGATATGGTTTTACAAATCATACAGCACAAATAAAAGTAAATATGAACACACAATATAAAATTGTGTTGATCTACTTGTTGAGGAGGAAGCAGTAAGTTTATTTGTTGAGAGGAAGAGGAAAGAAAGAAGAGTGAAGTAGTTAACCAGACTGTGAAGAGGGTAGCGCTGCCGCTAGCACATTGCGCAATAATTGCATGTGTTGGCTCGGGCTTCTATGATGCAGTTTTACGAATCATACAACACAAAGAAAACTAAATAAAAATGCACAATATAAAATCATGTTAATCTACTTGTTGAGGAGGAGGCAGGTCCAACCCGCCGATTGAAAAAGGTAAAAAAAAAAAAAAAGTCCATTTAAGCTCAGACGGATCAGCTGATCACCGGCCGCGCATTAGAGCTGTCATTTCTAACCTGAACCCGGAGCCTGGCCCTGCCCGACCCAGATTCGGACTGGGCCGGGCCATAATTATGTGCTTAATGTGGGGGCTGGGTCAGTGTCGGGGTTTTTATTGCATCAGGGACGTACGCAGCCGATGATCCAATTATATGCAAACATGGCTTTCCATACTATCACCAGCCGCACACAGTCATTTCACCGTGCGCTGACCGGCTGGTTAAAGAGGTAAAAAGTTCAGTTAAGCTTCAGATGGACTACTGTCAGCGATCCATCAGCTCAAATGGATGTTCATTCAGCTGCTGCACTCGGCAGATGCACGTGGCCGACGACCCACACAGGTAAGATCACAAAATATCTGACATGTCAGAGCAGGGTCCAGTGCACTTTGATGGCTCCTCAGCGCAGATCTTCTACCCACTTTACTCAGCCGTGCGTCCGCCAACCGTTAATAATAGTTGGTGGTATAAGCAGTCAAAGCTTAATTAGAATTTTTTTTTTGGGGGGGGGGTTCGGTTTCGGTCCTGCAGTTATTGTTAATTTGTCGGATCAGGTGGGGTTCGGAGATGATGGCTTTGCTTGGGTCAGGTCAGATTTTTTGGAACCAAGTGCCACTCTGCCGCGCATGTCTCCGCATCTGCTGTCATCTGTGGTGAAGGAAGTAGCAGCATCTACAAAAGCCGAAGCGAGCAGCGTGTTCAATTAAAATAGACTTGTTCTATATTTTTCCAAATAATTTAGTTCTATAAGTATTTTTGTTCATCTGTACAATAGCCTATCTTTAGAGTTGATTTTTTTTAGGCTATTCATTTTGTATGCTAATATTCATTTGGTGAAACAAGAAATCTTATATGTTCCTTTCTTTGAAATACATTTTAAAATATCATGTCAAACTGATTTGCTTACAAAAGCAGTCAAAACTTAATAAAAATAAATAAATAAATAAAAGTTTTTTTGTTTTTTTTTCCGGGTTCGGGCCTGTAATTACATTTAATCCGACGGGTCCGGGTCAGGCTCGAAAAAACAAACAAACTACGAGTTCAGGCCAGGTCGGATTTTTTAGGCCTGAATGAACTCTACCTTATATCACACAAAATGACTAAAACTCATTTAATTTTACTGATAATAACAGACATTTTAGTGTAGTTGTAGCTGCGACTGATCCCAAACACCTACCAGAGCTGCCAGTGACACTTCAAGAAATGCTGGGACTTATATTTTTTTGTCTGATTTCAAGTAACACACAAGCGACAAACACACGCATCAACAGAAATGAAAGATCATAAGGGATTCTCTCATCCCCCGTCTTTGCTCGTCCCTGAGGGGCCAGGGGAGAGGAAAAGTGTGTGTTCATGTCACACAGGGGCTGGAGATGCAGTAACCCCCCCTGAGGTTCACCTTCAGAGCCACTCTCACCTGTTTCTAAGCTTTTAATGCTCAGCAGCTGACAGCTGGAACCCAATATGTTCTGTCTGTCACAAAAACCTGTCCACAATCATATTTCAAAGATGTCCAATGTGTCTTATAGCACTTTGGGTAGCCCAAGGAATTATTTGATCTTCTAAAATGTAAATATATATATATATATAATATATATATATACACATGTATGTGTGTGTCAGTTTTGAAGGTCAGTTTAATCTGATTGTGAGCAACATGTTTGCTCATTTCATTTTTGGTTGTCAACTGAAAACATGACGTGGTATATATATATATATATATATATATACTGTATATATATATATATATATATATATATATATATAAATATATATTACATTACTTGCAGACTTTGCAGTCTTTTGCTTTTATTTGAATTTAGACTTTGTATTTTTCTTTATTTTTTTATTTGATATATTTTTGTATTTTTTTATTTGAAGTTAGTTTTTGTTTTGTATTTGAAGTTATATTTAAGATTGAAAATGTATACTGTTGCTAAACTAAACTGCTCAAAAACTTTAAAGATGAAAAGTAATTTAAAAAAGAAAAAAATGCAACAGAGAACACAAACAAATGATGAGATGTCCACTTTATCGTTCATATGCAAAGTCTGTATTCACTCAAGTTTTCCTGTTCGTAGCTTTCTTTTTGACGTTTGAGGGACTGTAAAAACTTCAGCATACTTTTAGCTATTTTAACCAATCACACATAAAACATTCAGCTCATTAAAATCAGTTCAGCTGTAATGAAACTTTTATACTTTTGAAAATATTAAACTTTACTGACTTGTTTCCCATTAAAATTAATAGAATACTTCAAAACCATGAAACAAATGAGCTTTAAAATCTACCACAGCTTACTTGCCACATATATATATATA